AACCTCTCCCCGCAAGCTCCCCCCACCCCACCGCATCCCCTCCACCACCACCAGCACCACCTCCTCCACCCCCTTTCTGTCAAAGCTGATTGTTTCCAAGCCAGCAGAGTGCTGCGGGCTAACACACTGTCACACTACATCAGGCAGAGGAAAAAAGGGGCGAGGGAGACTATGATAGCTTCTATATGCATGTCTATGTTCAAAAAGACCCACGCACACACCAACTGAAGACTTGGCCACAGCAGGAGTGTCATGTGATGAATATTGTCCAAAAGAAAGAGGCGAATGCCACTTGAAACACTTTTTTTTTTCCTCCAGGTTTTCTATCAGCATGGATTGCAGTTTTACATATATATATATATATATATATATATATATATATATATACATGTTGCTGGTTACTAACAAGGAGCTGAAGAGTAAAACATTTTTAAAAATCAGTTTGAGCCATAAAATATATAAAGATGTCAAGAAGAAATGTTCATGGGCTTGTGATTATTAAGGCATACTGACCTGTCAAATCCTGCATAAGATGATTCAAGAGTTGCCAAAACATGCCACGTTGGTGTTGCTCTAATACAAAGGGCGAACCTTTGATTCAAAAAGTGCAACGAGAAACGTGAATTTGAGGAAATGCGAATCGTTGTGGGACGTGGTAATTCTTACAAAAAAAAAAAAAATTAAAAATATATAAAGTATTGTTTTTGTTCTTTCTTGAAAGTCACGTTTAAATTTTCAAAATAAAATGCCTTTGACATTACTTTTTCGATTTAGGAGTCCGTTTAGTTCATAACGTTGCCCTTTCGAGTTTATTGATGTGAACCGGAATCAATGGCAAGCTAATACTCGTGTGTCTGTGATCTATGGTCGCCCCCTAGTGGTCGTTTCTGGTTCAAACGTGAACAAAAAAAAAACAAAAAAACGAGGGCCTCGGACCTCAACACAATATTTGACACAATGAAATACGAAGTAAAAGTGGCACTATTTGTACATGCTACAGCTCTTATTTCACTCCATTTATTGTCACAGGAATCACGTTATTTCTGATTGGTATTGGAGGCTCAACAAAATCGATCTTGTACAAAAAAACAGTAATTGTAAACAAAGTTGAGTACTAAAAACAAAACAGGCTGATACTTTTGACGATTAAACAGAAAAAAAATATTCCTTGTGTTTGTTAATACATAAAATAATCCATGCGAGGGGAAATTTGAAAACAGAATTGCGTATTATATTGCTCTATGAACTGTACAGAGAAAGGCAGCTAATCACACTCATATTCACCCCACCATCATTCAATAACTGGACAGTAGTGGTTGTCTTAAAGGCAAAATTTGTCATACATTGCCACTCACCGGATTGTACAGGCATGCCTAGTGTTGTAGGAAAAAAAACTGTAAATAAGGCATGCAATTTTTTTCACAACAACAACACAAAAAGATTGAGTTCAGTCTGCAATATGAGTCGTATAATAACAAGACAGACATAGGTTGCCTTTTGTCTTCAGTTGCTTATATCCAGTTAGCCCACCTTGAAATCAGCTTGAGTGTTTTACAAATCCGCATCCAAAGCAACGTTTGTTCTCACAGTGTCCCGTTGGAGACGTACGCACATGACAGACAAACCGTTGTAACCGCTGTAAACGTGTTATCCCTCTTTTGCTTTGGTGCCTTGCGTACGCCCAGCCAGCAAACTGGAGAATCAATACCGAAATTCGCTCCGCTCATCGCAATGATTGCACCACAAAGGGGCGATAAGACAAGCCGAACATAGGAGAGGTTTAGAGGGCCTATAGCCGTGGATTTTCTCTTAGGCAGCCCCAGGCTTTGGCCTCCCCTCCTGTACCTGACGTCTGTTTCCCAGGGGGACCCTTCTTTGAGGGTGCAGGGCCCCGGGGTACCGATTGACATGCTCCCCTAAGGGCGTTCTGCATGGGTGAGGCCTCCCTCCCGTCTACTTCACAGGCGATTAAAGGGTGGCAAAGATGCTGGTATCTGTGTGAGCACACACACATAGAGGTGAGACGATCTCAGTGCCGGGGGGTGGTCAGCAGCCTCACACGGCAATCACACTCTCTGCAGGAATACACTCTGCCCGAGCCCGTGTGATGGGCTCATACAAGCCAACTTTTATTCACGGGACAAAGAGCCAATTGTGAGTTAAAAGGACATTTAGCCCGAGGGTGGGTTACAGTGTGCACAGCAGACGGAGCAGAACATCGATAAACATGCTGATTAGGAATAAAATGAAGGCTGTGTGCTAAATGTACCCCCCCTTCGGAGCAGACGTTCAATGGAACTCGAACGACAAACAAAGCATTTCATTTTTAAAGCTACCAAGAATCTAAAAACACAGAAACTATTTTGATATCTTTATTGACATTTGTTTAACCGTCTCCATACAGAGGATCAAAACATGATTCAGAGATGTTGGTCACAATCAAAGACGACACTTTGACTTACGACACGAATCCCACAATGAGGCTTTTTCATTCTTCATTTTTTTTAAATTTTGTTTTTTTTTTAATTAAACAACATTCCTTTGACTACTTTTAAGGTTTTACTATGGTAGATATAGACTCCAGTCGGTCAGAAAGTCACCAACAAGATTTTGGATCATTCCAGTCACAAAACATGTAAAACAAAAACAAAACAAACAAACAAACAAACAAACAATATATATATATATGAGACTCTAGATTGTATTGATTTCTCGGTTAAACTGAGATCATACCCGCACAAACGGGTATTTAAATA